AATATGTAATTATTATATTTTTATTTACTTTAACAATATAAATTTCATTCAAAGGGTGGATATTAATAGACAGATGTGGAAAACATTTTGGAACAATCTTAAATTTCTTAAGAGATGGTTCAGTCCCATTGCCAGAAAGTACAAAAGAGATGGCAGAATTGCTTGCGGAAGCAAAGTATTATTGTATCACTGAACTAGCTGAATCTTGTGAACAAGCACTTCTTCGAAAGGAAAGAGAAGCAGAACCTATTTGTAGAATTCCACTTATAACTTCTCAAAAAGAAGAACAATTATTAATTAGTAGTACTACTAAGCCAGTAGTAAAACTACTTGTTAATAGGCACAATAACAAATATTCATATACAAGGTGGTAATACCTGTTTCATAGAAATTGCAGTATGCAATGAAACAAAGAACAAATAAATATAAAAAGCCTTGTCTTTACAGTACATCAGATGACAATCTATTAAAAAACATAGAATTGTTCGACAAAATGTCCCTTAGATTTGGTCGTAGAGTACTATTTATTAAAGATGTAATTGGCTCCAGTGAAATTTGTTGTTGGACATTTTATGGTCATGGCCGTAAAGTTGCTGAAGTTTGTTGCCACTCTATTGTATATGCAACTGACAAGAAGCACACAAAGGTAATATCTAATATATACATGCACTACATTTGATTATATACATCTATGATTCTAGACACATATTATGCAAAGTAACTTAAATCCAACTTGAAGAGAAAGTAAAGAAAAATAAACATTTGATTCATAATATATAGGTTGAGTTTCCAGAGGCAAGAATTTATGAAGAAACATTAAATATTTTATTATATGAACATCGAAATGGTCCTGACCAAGAATTAATGCAAGCAACATCGTCGCGTGGTGCAGTTAGTGGTGCACCACCTTGCACATCAGATGAAGAAGAGGGTGAACGTTCAGGTTTGGCTCGCCTACGTTCCAACAAACAAAACACCAACTGACCCAACCTTGCCCATCTTACCCCTCCTAATTCAGCAATTTTCGCCCTTAAGACGCGAGCCAATATAAAGTAAGACCCATTAAATAAAAGACATAAACAAAACTTTATATGTATATACACGTGTATACACATATGTACACGCGCGCACGTGTGGGTACATATGTATATGTGTGTGTGTGCGCGCGCGTGTGTATGTGTTTCTCATTCTCTCGTTCAAAATGTATGAACAATATAATTAGAGTTGGTTATATGATAAATTACCACTAAGTTTCATGTTACATTCTTCTACTTTCTTTATATACAGGGTGAATCAAGATGGGTTATGTCTTTTGTTTGATTAGAGGTAGAAAAAAGTTGTAGAAGAGAAAGTTGAATACCTTCACTTTTTTCGTAAGTGCTGCACTTAAAAAGAGCAGATGCACTTTCTTTTAAATACAACTACATATTTTTTTAAACGTACATTGGCTCTTTGGGACATTCCATGTATAAAAGTATTATGGTATAATGCTAGAAAAATGAATACTGCGTGAGATATTTCGAATTTTTGATAAACCATATGTAAGTGATGACGGAACGTTCGAATACATTGAACAAGGTGTACGCCTTATTGATCATATAAAATATCTCAGGAAGTATTAATTTCTCTAACATTATACCCTAATACTTTTGTACGCGTAATGTTCTGAAGAGTCGACCTACGTAAAAAAAAAATAAGCAGTTCCAATAAAAAAATTTGCATCTGCTTTCTTTAGATGCACCGTTGTACTTACGCAAAATGTGAAGCCGTAGGGAAACAAATCTTACACCATTCAATTTTCTCAACTTTTTTCCATCTATAACCAAAGAAGAAATATAACCTGTTCCAATTGCTCATTGTGTATATCTGTATATCTTTATTATTGCACATATCTGTGATTATTTACAGATGTTTTAATTTAGAATAGAATGAAATATTCGTCTTGGATTTATTCATATTAATAGTGTAGGATGTAGAGCTACATAAAAATGTAAAAATACATTTTCTAATACCTTATTTTTAAGGAACTAGAGATACAAGTACTATTCATGTGCCAAATATTTGTGTCAAGTAAAGTAAAGTAAAGTAAAGTAAAAATAAGTTAAGTTGCCATTCTATGACTGATGGAATTATTTACGATCATTCTATAACAACTTTTAAGCAGTTATTTAGAGTAATAAAATTCATACAAAACTTGGACAGCATAGGATTGCATTGTTACCTGTTAAAAGTACTACAGCTACTGCTGAAACTATTAGTACTAGTACTGCTACTACTATTACTACTACTACTACTACTACTACTATTATTATTATTATTGTTATATTATTCTCATTAGCATTATTATTGTTATTGTTATTATAATTATTACTATTATGATCACTATCATTATTACTTTCATAATTATAAATTCGATATATTTATATTCCTTTTTTACAGAACAGAATTCTGTGTGTCAATAAATTAATAAAATACAATATGTTTGCTTGCATTTTTCAACTTAAAAATTCTATGAAACTGCTTAAAGGATGATGTGGAGTAAGCACTGCCAATAAAATAATTACAAAAATTATACAAAACTGCTTGATATAAGTTAAAAATTAATTCAAACTTTACTTAATTTATCCGTTTTGAAATTGCAAATATTGTTCCTTTATTGTGAAAAAGACAGTCATTTTTATAAACATGTAAGCTTTATATTAATGTCTGTATATCATTCCAAAACATGGTACATTTTTCACATATTAATTCTTTCTACTTTAATTACAGACTTCAACTTATAAAAACAAGTATATTAAATGAAAATTTTTATATAAATAATATTTGTTATTCTTTATCTTACAAAATTTTTAGGTTTCATATTCGTATGCCTCTCGGTCTCTCGAATATAAGACGTTATCTATATTATTGCATTATACTAATATGAACAAAAAAAAACAAGAAATATCACCACACAAAACAGTTTAAATTACTATATGTAAAGTAAAAGTTTTCGAAATACATACTGAATGTTCATATTTTGTATTTATTATAAACTGCTAGAGTTAATAAAATAATGTAATATGTAAATTAAACTAGAATATATACTATATTAATCAAAACATCATTGATTGAATTTTTGAACCTCACATTAGAACACAGTTTTAATACCTGTTTTGTCAGGTAAAACACACAGAAGCTAAAACATTAGTTCAAATGTCATGTTTTCATATATAAAATAAATAAAATTAACCATTGTCAAAAATGAATCAAGAATTGTATCAATCATTTATATTTTCTTTTAGGAAACTAGTACATTCTATCAACAAAATTTGTAATTT